CCCCATTTGTAACAAGTTTACATGCCAATTTTTCTTAACAACTGATCTCCCTGTGCCTCTCCAGAAAAGGAGGCACAGAACAGATACAGTTGCCTTGTTTTGACAAACAACTATCACGTCATTTCACGTGCTTCTTAGAAAAAGCCAGTTGTGCGCACTCTCTCCGCCTTCTATCTGATGGACTTCCTCTAAACCTTAAAACATCCCCCAAAAGTTAAAAAAAGAATTGATCCCAATTAAGAAATTATAAAAACAGCAATATAAATAGTCAACACTTGAAAAGTGGAGAGATCCTAGATACATTACAAAACAATCAACTAACAAAGTCATGCAAGGATATAACTAGGGCTTACGAACAAGGAAACTAACTTACTATGACCGTACGTGGACCTTGAAAATACTAAAATCAACACTAAATATAAGTTTCATGTTTTTATATGGTTTCAAGTACAGATAAGTTAGGAACTTTATGGTGAAGTAATGCTGTGACACATTGAGTACATGAATGCTGGATAATTACAAATTATGTACTATAAAACCTAAAACCCCATGGAAATAGCTTTTCTCCAAGCCAGAGGCAACCACCTCACTAGCAGAAAGCTTAACGACTAGTGCATAAACTCCCCAATATTAATATACTGAAAGAAACAGAAATGAGCAATTCAAAAACCCATTCGTACAGTAATACCTGACAGAGTAAGCTACCAACTGCCTTTTACCCAGTAATCCTTTCAAGTGTCCATGAACCCGAACGTACATGCCATCTCTATTTGACAAAGAACCCGAACAAACAATAAAACATGATATTAAAATATATGTTAGGTGAAAAAATAGCACATTATCAAGAAGAAAAGTTACGTGACTGCTTCCATTTCCTTGGCATCAACAGCTTCATTTACCCTGCATAGTATGCATCAACCAAACTTTACAATTAAATTTTTAAAACAGAAAGTCAATTGTGTCAGACATAATAGCAATTGACTAGATTATGGTTTTACATAAGAGGTATAGCAATTCTAAATCCTTTACCAATAAGAGATGCACCACAATATACTTGCGGTCTATGATGACAGAAATGATATCAAAACCATACCCATCAGTCAGATAGAATCCTAAACAAATTAAAGTCAGAACAGAAAAGGGAAAAAAGAAACTGACAATTACCATCGAGAACAGTCAATGCGCCCTGTTCCATCATCCACTACAAATGAAACTTCTGTAACCCTTTCCGCTTTGTTGAATAAAATACCCACCACTTTCACCTACGAGCACGTCAGATTCTAATCATACATATCTTGCATAAACTTGCAACAAAACAGTAAAAGCCATGAGTATAAGAGAGACTTACATTATTCACGTCAACCCCATCAATGAGAAAGTTTGTCTTATCATCACTAGATTGAAAGGCTTCACTAATTTGCTTGACACTTAGTGGAAGCAAAGTCTGTGAATCACGATTCTGCGAATAGAGAAATAAAAAGAAAAACAAGAAAGATGTTATCACCCCTGCATTTCAATTTTCCACGGCCATATTAAGATGCTACATTAAGCAAGAGAATATAATATGCTTTAAAAATTCTTTTATTTCCTTCGCACCGAGTCAAAACCAATTACACTCTACATGCACTTATGAAATTTAAGGAACAGATAAACAAGAGAATATAATATGCTTTAGAAATTCTTGTATTTCCTTCACACCAAGTCAAAACCAATTACACATTTACACTCTACATGACACTATGAAACTTAAGGATCCAAAAGAAACTTACTCTGATTTAAAATTGAAATGTAGAACATTGACAAAGTTTCTAAAGACCAAGAACTGCATGAGTAAAGAAATACTCTTTATTTTGCAATATGCTTGATCAGCTTTCCTTAGTCCATAGTTACTAACCAAATCTAGAAGCATGTTCCAAATTTCTCTAACAAATTTACTACTTATGTGATATTAGATGTCTGGCTGATTCTTCTTCTGTATCATGTAGAATAACATCTTAGCACATTTTATGTCCCCTTTTCTGACGATCTTCCAGATTTAATGTAGCTTCATGGACCACAAACAAATAGAGCTACTCTTATTGGGGCTTTTAACCTCCGCACAGCTTATCCTGGAAATCTTTTCTCCCTGTCACCATTTCTGGCCCTTCTTATTTTTTTCTTTTTTTGGGACAGTGGTGGTGTCAGGCCAGCTTGCGCATACCTCGACTAAATTCATAGGCTAGCTGTGTAATTCTGTCCATCAAAGCTTAAACATATGGGGAAAAATAACCTAGTGTTTTTGTCTCCATTAAGACCATTTCCGTCCCTTCTTCTTCTTCCTCTTCTGGCAATTGGCTCACCAATTGCATTAAGTTCGTCTTCGAATATTCAATCTAGTATTTTAAGCATTGTTATCTTATACTCCCTCCTTCCAGAAAGAATGGCACTGCTGCTATTAGGGGAACCAAACATTTTTTTTAATTAAACTAGTTTAAACACCTCTAATATATTCTTAACTGTAATGATTTATCATTATTTACGTAATTACTAAACAAACAAACTTTTTAAAGAAATTAAACAATGGAGGACCCAAGTTAATTCATTTTTTCCCGTCACATTCCTACATAGCCGCAAAATTATCAACCAAAAAAAGAAAGGAATTGCAAAGAAGAACTAAAATACGCTCTTAATTTTTAAGGGTTTATTTTAAAGTTTCCTTTATTTGTTTTTGGAAAATAGACCATAGTTTGAAATTCTATGAAATGCATATTAGGGTCAATGAAATATTAAAGCTTTCACATTTTGTACGCCAAAAAATAAAATAGAACAGACCTTGGCTGGAGAGAAAGAATGATCGCCGGCGGTTTGAGTGGCCTGCGATGGCATGAAACCGCCGCCGGCAAACGCCGCGTTGCCGTCGAATTGGCTATTCCCGCCGTACATCCTTCTCTGTGTTGGTGTGTTTGTCACACTACGGGGGTTCCCGCCTTTTTAACTCTCTTTCTGAGTCTTCCTCCTAAAAATTGCAAGGGGCGACGCTTCTTTTTAATCTGCGGCCGCTTTGTCTTTCTGTTTATACCCATAGCCGTTTTTTTGTTAAAAGTCATTTGAAAAGATTATTTTACCCTTCTTTATTAAAAGAATACTTTCTCTCTAAGTATACGCTAGTCCTCTACTGTCTTTATCTCTCACTCCCGTTATTCGCATTTGTTGATTTGTTCTTCTCTGAAATCAAACGGTTTTCGTTGTTGTTTTGATTTTTCAACTACTAGTCATCGTTGTTCCCACATTATGATTTAATCACAGGTACATTGCAATAACTTTCTAGGTTTTATTTTACGATTTAATTTCTGGTTTTGGTTTTGATAGTCATATATTTATGATAAAATATTTTCTTAGGGTTTAGTTTGATAAGTGCATTAGTTTTACTTTTACGATTGTGTTTTTAGATTTTTTGAACGAGTGTTTATGTTGTTGATGAAAATTCTATATTTAGATTTTTTGAACGAGTATTTAAAAATTTTGAGAGTTAAATATATGATACTACTTAGGAGCTGTAGTATTATTTGTTTTATAATAGTTCAATGATACCTTAGATAAACAGAATTTGTGTTTTGTTTTTTGTCAAAACTACAGCATGTTTTTTTGCTGAATGTTTTGTGTTTGTAACTGGTGAAGTTCAGCTTTAGGAGCTGAAGTTTTTGTGTTTGTAACTGTGAAGTCCAGCTTAAGGAGCTGAAGTTTTTGTGTTTGTTATTGGTGAACTTCAGCTCTAGAGCTGAAGTTTTTGTTTTATATCTGTCGAACTTCAGCTCTAGAGCTGAAGTTTTTGTGTTTGTTACTGGTGAACTTCAGCTCTAGAGCTGAAGTTTTTATTTTATAACTGTCGAACTTCAGCTCTAGAGCTGAAGTTTTTGTTTTATAACTGTCGAACTTCAGCTCTAAGGCTGAAGTTTTTGTCTTTGTAACTGTCGAACTTCAGCCTTCTTAGGTATTGAAGTTTTAACTGATCTTTTTGATAATGTCCTAATGTTATTTTTTGTAACTTTTACTTTTTTTGAACAGATGGCTCCTAAAGCCCCTAAAGATCCTAATGCAGCTAAAGCAGGCAAAGCACCTAAAGCACCTAGACAACCTATAATACCCCCAGGTCCTTATGTTCCTGCTCCTCCACCTACAAGACCAGGGCAAAGATATTTTGAGTTTGGAGATTGGTTTAACTGGAAGGGGAACCATGATTTGAAGAAATTAATTGCAACTTTCTTGACTCCTACACAACGGG